GGGGTCAAAGGCAGCGTGGTGAAATCAAAATGTTTAAATTATCGAAACTGGCATTTCCCCGCAGGTTTGGTAATTTAAAAAAAATCCATTTCTCTTGTTCGAATCAACACCGTTTAAGTCCATAAAAGAACACCTTTCTGTGTGGATTTTACTGGGGAAATTTTGACTAAAAGCACTTAAAACTACCGTTTTCTCACTATCCTTCTTTTCAATTGCAAACACCTCGACTTATTTTCTAGATAAATGGATGGGGGTTTTTCATCGAAAGCAAAACAAATGAACAAACTTAAAGTTAAGAGATAATACTATAATAACTCCACATGCCCAAAAACTGACGAGCGCCTGATTCCACTGCGTCGTGACACCTAAAGTGTACAGTCAAAATTTCGTGGCGCAACTTATTGTCAAACATTATCTCAACTATCAAACATAAAGTTTCCAGTTTTTGCACAAGGACTTATCAATTTGTCTTAACAGTTTAAAATTTTAATAAACACCTGTTAGCTGTATTCTAGAAAATTCCTTAATAATTACCTATTAACAAACCCCCGGGGATATTTTTTTTAAAACTGATTTTAAAAGGTTTAATTACAACTGAGACAATATCACTTTTAAAAGCAAGTCCGTCAATGTTTTTCTAAGCTCCAGACTACGCTTATTGAACGCATGTTTTGAGAACATTTTAGTACAAAAAGTGTTCATTATAAAATTAATATCCTGTAACAAGTTTAGCTACTAAAAAGTGTCATTGATGAGCTGTGACTCGTATAATAAGCCATAATAATTAAGTTATAATAAATGCAAAATGGCTGTGAGAAGGCGGGATCAAGTGCTGTGAACAATCCCATTTTCCGAGTGACGGAGATTTATAGTATTTTATATAAATTTATGAAGAAATGTGTTTCAATCTAGCCTCAGTTCTTATGAAAAAATATGATTAAGTTAAGATAAATTGATACAAACTGCTGTGCAAAGTAAGTATGACGTGATTGATTCTCCCGGGAGAGAGCATAATTGAGGATAAATTGCGCTGCGAATTTTTGACCGCACAAGATAATATATAGAGGATAAGTTGCGCCACGTAATTTTTGCCC